AAAGGATATATATATATATATATATATATATGAACATTAATACATGATCTGAGTCCATTTATTGTAGAAAGCTGTTTGCTGGCTAATTCAAACCAAGTAATGGAGAGTAAATGCCTCTGCACATCACATCAGGCATTTCTTCTGAAAAAATGTACTCATATTCAGTTCATGATGTTTACACATCAACTCTGAAACTGTAAAACATTCTACTTTGTCAGAGCAACTTTGTTCAGGCATTTTCTACCTTTTTTTTAACCGACAAAAGCACAGGAAAGGCGAACTCTACATTCATGAATGAACTTCAGCTGACGGGGAGAAATTAGAATTTTTGAAGTGACATGCCGTGTAGCGCTGTGTTTGTATGCCACACTGCCATCAACTACATCCCTGTAATTGGGCAGTTATAGGACTGTAATAAAATTATGTAATAATAAATGTCACATTTAGTTGTTATAAGGTTAAAAGTTATGTTAGCGCTCAGAGCAGGGTTGCGAAAGTATTTTGTGAGAATTTAACTGAGTTTGGCAAAGCTTTCAAACCAGATATTTGCAACACTTTTTGAATGGGGTAGAGTTATCTGCACTGACCCTTTCACACTCACAGATCACAGATTTTCAAGTCACTTTTACAGTGTGAAAAGGGTAGAAAGAGACTGTGAAAGGGAGAATGTGAGAGACTGGGTGTGTGAAGTGAAGGAGCTGACATTTATTATTAAACAGTCATCTTTCCCCCAAATCACTTCTGCAACGCCGTGCCTCTGATCTCTTTCACCTCTGCTTATTATCCCTCTCGCCTTCTTTATTTTACCACTGTTGTTTCCAAATTCAAACATCATTATTAGCCCAATGACAGATAGCAGCTACAGAAATGTAATTTGGACCTCTGGTTTAGAGCTAGGTCCCCCAAGGCAGGTAGCTATGTCCCATGAGAAACATTAAGCGCCATGTTCCTCCATGTCTACCACTCTGTCTACTTGGTGCTCATAAAGGGCCATCTCTGCCTCCCTCTGGCCTCCCTCCTGAACTCAACTTCTCTGCCTGGGATAACGTGCCCATTTGTAATGACCCGTGTATATAATCTGGCAGTTACATACTACATACATTACATACTGGACTGAAGTGAAAGAGCAAGTAGACAGAAATGCATCTAGGATCCTATTGACTACAATTTAAAGAAGGGGTCAACAAAGATGGCCCTCAATAATAAACTATGATATATGGGGTAGCATATCTACATGACCTCAAGTCCCTTGTAGATGCAGTGAATCACTTTGCTGCCCGAATGTTCATTCATCCTGTATATAAACTATCCAGAGAGATTACCTGTGTGGATAACTTGATGCATATGACCCCCCATCTTCACAATAAGTGTGACCTCTGTGACATCTAGCAATCTTCATTTGCCATTTAATAAATCGTACTGTGGATAAAACAAGTCTAACAATGCTGAGACATTTTTTCCAACATGTGCATACATCCTTTGACTATTGTACTAGCTTTTGTTCAGTCAATCACTTTACAACTCTAAAGGGACATTTTTCACTTCATAAGCTCTAATAGATAAACCCAATTATACACATTCTGCAAATATGTATGCAGAAACACGGGCCATTGTTACAATGTATGCCTTTTTTACAGCACCACAGTGGGGGAACAGTGCTATCCTTCAGTGAGGTGCACACAGTTTAGAGAGAACACTGGTGGAAGTGGGGGTGGGGGGATCAATATGTTTTGCAGGCATTTGTTCAAAGGCAGATACTAAGGAGTGAATGTCTCAAATCAAACTACTCCACCTCTTTTCTTGCCAGCCCATGTTTCTGTTGTTTGTTTACTTTTTGACAGTCCCTGAGTTTATTTTGTATTTTCAACCGTCACATTTCATATCTGCATATACTTTCCTGTGGAAATGGTGTTCAGGCTTCAGAGGCTGTTTGCTGGTTGTTATTCAGCGTCTCTCTTTCCCCGCTCCCTGCTCCAGCACTCATTTGCCATGCCGTTTCATCCCCTCCCCTCATACTGCCGAGCACCGTTTGAGCTTTTTAAATCAGGGTTAGGCTTCTGTTCAATCCATTTCAAAATGTCCACAAATGTCCTCTGGTTTGCAGGGCTGGTGAAAGGAAGGTGAGGAAAAGAGTGACTGAGAGGATGGCACATTAGTGACAGTTACAGGGTTTTAATGCTCCCAGTGAACATTTTTTTTGTTCATTAATGTGCAAAGTAACAATGGAAAAAATGTTCTAGCTCTGGGCATTAGTGAGAACCATCCGATTCATCTAGATTCAAGTTTATGCTACTGGAGTATTTCACACTGAATGACACAGGTTACAGGTGACACGGCTTTTGTCAAGTTCTCTGTCCTTAATCCAAAATGCTTAACATTTCCTTTACAAAACCTAAAAGCACTGTTGTTGCTGAGAAGGCATAGTTTGGAAAAATGGGTAGCTCTGTAGTCTGTAATACTAAGAGCTATGATGAAATGACATGAGGAGGTACTTAAAGCATTGGTCAATGATAAATAGCTCATCATATCTGCTAGAAAGAGAGCCACTGGTTTCAAACATCAATATGAAAGTTTTATAATATTATTATAGATTAAGAAACACTGTATAAACTCACAATTCGAGGAATACCAAAATGTAACCCTTTATTCAACCAAGCATTTTTTATTTGTTTTTTTCTTCCCAGGATCATTTACATAACTTCTTGACTGTTTAACTAATGGTTGGTGTGTGTTTTTAATATTACTCAGCATTTTTTGTTGTCAACAAGATATAGTGTGAGTCAAGCGTGCATTTGTGGGTGAAGTATAACTGTATATATTGAGCATATAAGTACTATTAAGTAAATTGATGATGTTGTCCTTTCTGTTTTGGCAGGGTTGTTCACTCATATCCTATTGGATGAGGCGGCCCAGGCCATGGAGTGTGAAACCATCATGCCTTTTGCTCTAGCTAGCAAGACCACCCGCATCGTGCTGGCTGGAGACCATATGCAGGTAAGTACAAAGAGTTCAATGTATACTTTGTTTAAACAGCAAGTTTTTCCAGGGAAAAAAATGCAGCATTTCTAAGCTTATTTGTGGATTACCAGATAGTGTAAATGCACATTACATGGTCTTTGGCTCATTGAAGACTTTCCTTTCTATCCTAAAATAAATCAGAAGAATACTTGGATGCAAAGCTGTCAAGTAGAAGTAATAACTTCATTTGCACTTGGATTAGACTCCGCTCTTCCGTACTTCAGATACAAAAGAACAGACAGCCGGCACTGCCAAGCTGTGGCTCTGGAGACCACTTCAGCCACCGATAACACAAATATAAACTCACATCAGTCAAGCTTTCTAAGCCAACACAAGGAATTAAAACCTTATTTCCTCCTCTCCTGGTTTTAGACACAGGCACAGGATTACCAGTAGGCAGTGGATGAAGACGAGGCATGAGTCTACCATGCTATAGTTGCTTTAATTATTTGATCTCTCTCTGCTATTCCTTGGTGCGAAAAAAAAAAAGAAACTGATCAAAACACAATGTCCACCTGTGTATCCATTCATCTCAGTCACTTCGTCTCATGCTTTTCTCCTACCACCCTTCTATCCTTTATAAGCACTTAGTCACTCCAAGGAAGGGAAGTGGTCCAAGGAAGGATGTTGCCCTTTTCTATTTCTCCATCTCCTTACTCTTTCCAGTCTGCTGGTAGAGCCAGATAAATAGTCAATGAAGGCTAAGGCCTCTATTGATTGTTTGCTTTCTTATTGACTGTGTGAGTCCTTATTAAAGCAAGCTGACCCTCTCTGACTGTCAGGCTTAAATTAGGATTCAAACTAAAGATAAATTGCTGTCTTGTACATGGCAGTGGTCAAAAGGTAAATTAGTCTGTGTGTATTTGTGTGGGTGTGCACAGTTTTGCAAATGTGTAACCTTATTTATAGCAAAGCCTATTGTTGATGATGGTCACAAATCTTGCTCACTACCGTTGGACCAAAGGAAAATTCTTACTGAAATAGTTTACACCGTTTCAGCTATTGGAGGAGTTAGTGATTCATGCTTGATTTATTCACTTACTTGAATTATTACTTACGAAATAAGAGCTATTCTGCCCTGGCTTGCAAGCAGTGCCATTTTGGCACAGATCTGTAAGACTGGCTACTAAATATATACTCCAACAAAATCAAAAAATTCCACTATAATCATTTTGACTCAAGTACTGCTTGTTTAATGGCATACACACCAGATGGAAAAGCTTGCAGTTCACCAAAACAAGAAAAGTTCTCAAATCAGTTTAAGAAAGAAAGCTACAAGGCCAAATTTGATAACATTTGTAGTATCATAATAGAACCTTCCAAAAAAACCCTGAAACTAAACTGGGAACTAAAAGCATTAGAATTTCCAACTTATCTGAATTTCTGTATAGATTAGGCACGTAAGACTGCTGTACACAAGCTGAAGAAGGGATTGTATTCTACTATCCTGTCAAAGCAGCTGACATGCCTGGGACATTTTGTTCAAATCATTTTGGAAGCGTACATGAGATTGCAAGCACATGACATTCTTGTAGACTTCAGACTGTCTTGTGCTTTATATGCCATGGAGTGCCTTTTTTTCATTTCAAGCACTACATGTGTTTTCATGTGATTAGCATAACTTCAATCAGAGGTGAAACAGAGTAATCAAGGAAATCACTGGATGCAGTATTGGGTTAAAAATGAAAAACGTGCCAATCATTTGGTTTGAAACTGCTTGGTTAGACTCTGAACAGATTGAGTATACCAAATTGAAATGCATAGTTGAATAGAAAGTAAATGTGATGATGTGAGAGAATGGTAAACTACGTTGTCATGCTTTGAAACCAACTTTGCTTTCCATCTCTCCTGCCTCTCTCACTCTCACTGTCCCTCGGTTTGCAGCTCAGTCCATTTGTGTACAGCGAGTTTGCGCGGGAGCGTAACCTGCACGTGTCACTGCTGGATCGGCTGTATGAGCACTACCCCCCTGAATACCCATGTCGGATCCTCCTGTGTGAGAACTACCGTTCCCATGAAGCTATCATCAAGTAGGTGTGAGCCCTCAACACTGCCTTGTGTCGAAACCGTGGGAGGAGAGGCTGAAAAGGTGGAGAAAGTTGAGATGAGAGAAGAAAGGGGGGGTGGGAGGAGCAGGTCAGGGGGAACAGGGAAAACAGGTGAAGAACTGACAGTCTTGGGTTGTGCAGAGAGGAAAGTGAGTCGGGCTACGTGGGTTACTGGTGAAACGTTAAATATGAACTCCACTTTGAATGCTTCACAGACATGAAGGAAGGTTTATACTACTTTTACCATACTTTTCTTTTCAATACAATTCTACATGGGTCACCCAAGTTATTTTACCTTTTCAAGTGGATGCAGATGCACCTACTGTGTTTGACAGTGCACTATGTTGCTGGGTGGAGCTGCAAAAGAACACACACACACACACGCACAAAACCAGCACCCTCAGCAGCACATAGTAGTTCTCGAGTTTTGAGAAGATCCATTTGAGTTTTTTAGTCATCAGGCTTGCTGCAATTTCTGAACCCTAAAATATTTTAGTTTTGAATGGTCAATAATTTCTGATTAATATCCTTGCATAAACATAGTCTATTCTCATTTCCCCCTCTTTTTGCTTTCCTTTTCTTCTTCCACCCCACCCCCTTCTCGTCTTCCTACAGCTACACATCAGAATTATTTTATGATGGGAAGTTAATGGCAAGTGGGAAGCAGCCCTCCCATAAGGACTTCTACCCTCTGACCTTCTTCACAGCCAGGGGAGAAGATGTCCAGGAGAAGAACAGCACTGCCTATTACAACAATGCAGAGGTATGGGGAAGAATAATATTTTATATTATTTAATATTTTTTTATATTATTCATTAGGGCTGTCCCGACTAAAGTTTTTCCCAGTCAACCAGTAGTTGTTAATTCCAGCCAAAACTTTAGTCCTTTAAAAAAATATATTTGAACAGCTGTCTGTTAAATGCTAACAGAAAGGCGGTAATGATTTTGAATATGTCAGCAGCCAGGAGACTGAACATTAATTTATTTCAACACAGTATAATATCACTAAGTCCCGTCATTCAAAATGGGACTGTAAGCTAGTGGCAGGCAGTCAGCAACTCATACAGTTAGCACATGCAGCAGTGCTGTACTACAAGAGAAAGGTTCCTTGCTGCAACAGTCCCCTAATACTTTTGTCCCAGCTCCTGTTTGACACAGTTTACTCAGCCATTAGGGGACAGGCCTAAAATGTACACAAAGAAAGTAGTGTGGTAATGATTTACAAACACAAAGAGAGAAAAGGCATTGGGGTACTATTGGGTGGCATTGGAGATGGTGTTTGTAAGTATTATGAACCAGGGCTCGTGTTTAACAAAATGTCATTAGGACAAATAGTCAAATAGGAATTTGTGTTAATATGTACTCACCATGCTCGAAATTAAATGTTACATTTTGAAATAGATCGATTCCTAATTGATAAGAAATGCAATTACAGGCATCATGCATTGTAAAACATTTGGTAAAATTGCTAACTACATAAACAAATACCTTTTTATTTAATTATTTCCCAGTCCTGCGCCATGGAGCTAATGTATTACTTTATTTCACTAAATCACAATCGTGATAATTCAATACTAATTTCCTAAATACACGTTTGACATTTAGAACTAAACTATAATATGAATTAGATCTGCTCTCTCCCTCTGGGAAGGGGACGCTTATCAAAGCCTAAAAACATGATTAATGTGAAGTTAATCAGCGTGAACTACTCCCACATATTGATTCAGTTTTGTAATTGATGATGACATGCACTGTATCTAATTGGAAATAAACAAAAGCTGCACTCTTTGCACTGTGAGCATCAACATTACGAACATGTTCATATTTTGATTATATTAAACATCTAAAACTAACACTTCATCATCAGACCGAGCCTGTCAGGGCTGTCATGTATGCTAGTTACCCCTCCTGTTTCTCACACATTGAAAAGTTGATAATGGATTTCTTTTTGCAGTTTAATCCACCTGAGAACACACTGTCATCTTCAGTCTACATTGTAGTTGATTTCCATTGCTGTCTCTACGATTGTGTATGTGCATATATCACCACAGCTGCATCTCTCAGTTTCTGCGATCTATAACGATGACGATAGGACAGTCTAAAAGTGATGAAGATTGCCTTATCCGAATTGCACCCCCTCTGCGGCAACAGTGTGTTAAATAATGAAGCTAACAGTTCTTATGAAAACGTTTAAAAAAAAAACTGAGCATATGAATTAACACTGCAGAAAAACTTAAAATTTGAGTGAAAAAACACATTATACATATAATATATAAATAATTGGGCCTCAGATAGTTTCAATAATAATATATGTTTGAAATTGATTTTTTTCTTTGACATATTAAGTTTCAAATTATTAGCATTATTGCATGGTTGTTAGGCTGTAGATCCACGTATATAAATATATTTTCTATAAATAATTCAGGGATTTGATTGAAGTGAATGATTATCAGCACTGTTTACTTCGCCTCATCACCATAAGTTGGAACACTCACTGTCTTATCATAATTGAATATGAAACCCATGAACTTAATTAGGAGACCAACCAAGAGCTACAGTTGACACCATGATGTGAGATTAATTTAGTCTGTTTGATTGGTCCCTCTATAGAGTCACTTGATTGTGGTCATTGGCTGTGCCTGACCCCTGACCCTTTGTTGACATGTTCCAGCCAATTAAACCATGGATGCTTCTTGGTTTTGCTCCCAAACTGTCAGCGGTGCCAAATGAATTACCTCTCGTCTCTGATACAGCACTCATGTCAAATCGTTAACACCATTATCATAATCTTCCAAAATCAAAATGCATTGAGTAAAGCTTGTCCAATTGTCTTGTGTGTGTGCGAGTCTTTGATGGGCTTTACTTCAAGTGGAAGACAATATTTCTATGTCATGCCTAAGCTCCGAACAGGAATGGAAAAAGTGTTTGTATGACAAATTGCTTTAATAACTAATACCAAGACTGTTTAATGTGCTAACATGCGACTGAGGTATGATATTATGTATATTGCTCATTCAGTTTACTAAAAATGTTATTTTTCATTTAGCAATGCATTGTGATCTAGTGCTGACATGGAATACCTTGCCTTTCTGGAAAGCTCAAAGCCTTTTTTCTCAGCGGTTAAACAACACATCCATTTTCATCAAGCCATAGCTTCTTTTATTTAGGGGGTTGACATTGACGCCTCAGTGACATACAGCACATAAAGCCTCCTTTGTTCTTCAAATATTTTGTCTCCCACTGTTGCTTTTTTTACCTGGGTGGAAAATATCCCTTAGTCCCTGACTTCTCAAAGTTCTTATCAGATCGCGTGTGTGTGGGGACAGTGTGAAGAGAGCGTGCATTTCAGGCTTGTTATTACCTCGTTCTCTCGTCCATCCATCTCCTCAGGTGTTTGAGATTGTGGAGCGGGTGGAGGAGTTGCGCAAGAAGTGGCCAGTGGCCTGGGGCAAGCTGGATGAGGGCAGCATCGGAGTGGTGTCGCCATACGCTGACCAGGTGTTCCGCATTCGTGCCGAACTCCGAAAGAAGAGAATGCATGAGGTCAGCGTGGAAAGGGTGCTCAATGTCCAAGGTGAGAAAAACTATTAACCAGCATGCTCATGCTTTATATCAGTAATGAGGAATTGCATGTGTGTAGTTGCTGGCTCAAACACTGAAACTAGTGATGCATTAATATACCAGTAAAATGATATCTTGAGATTTAAATTGCCTTGTTGGTATCCTGCAGGCACAACTGACAAAACATTATTCATGGCCAAAGTATTTTTTTTTTTTTTACTGTTAATTTGATGGTGAAGCTGCTATGGTCATGCAATTAAAACAGTAGTTACAGACAAACAAAAAACAACATTTTATTCCCCAAGTGTCTCATTAATATTTCTCCATGAAGCTTGTCTCACACATGTCTGTGTGCAATGTCCATCCTCGGTCAAAGTGATGCTTAAAATGAGAGCTACATTACCCTAAAGACAAAACCCTACCATCTTCCACTGCAGTTATCAGTGTTCACATTGCCCTTCATCCTCCAGTCCTAGTATAAGGAGAATATAAGTAAGGGTTTCTTTCCGCAATCTCTCGTCTGCTTCAGTCTCATGAAGTTCCCACTTGTATTGCATCCAGCTGCTTTCCACAGGTCATTAACTTCCTCATTAATCACACATAAAACGTGTAGACACATACACACAAACAGGAAAAGTGTACGCTGCTTAAAACTTAGAATTTAACACACACTCAGATTATGTTCGTTAATGTGTTCATTAGTCATCTAGTTTTTTCTATTTGAGTGGTTTCAGTGTCCATTGATATCAAATATCATTGAGGCTAGCAAGTTCGTCCAAGAGTTTAGTTCTCATTCATTGCAAAAACCATAACATAACCTGTGTTAAGTAGTGAAATAGAAAAGTTCAAGTTTAAACGAAAGATTCTAAGATGGTGCTTTGCTTCTTCTAAATGTTTTATCTGTAAAAACTTCATAATACATAATTGTTTGCAGGCAAACAGTTCCGCGTGCTGTTCCTCAGCACGGTGCGGACGCGGCATACCTGCAAGCACAAGCAGACGGCCATCAAACGTAAAGAGCAGCTAGTTGAGGACTCAACAGAGGACCTCGACTATGGATTCCTCTCCAACTACAAGCTACTCAACACGGCCATCACAAGAGCCCAGTCCCTGGTTGCAGTTGTGGGAGACCCCATAGCACTGTGCTCTGTTGGACGCTGCAGGTAAAGACAGGCTTCTTTGGCTGAAGCCTTCAATACTGTAACATAGCAGATCTGTTTATAAAGTAATGGTTCAGTTATAGTGAATGACTTGTAATGTGGTAGATCTACAGGATCACCCAAAAGGAACACCGAACTTCACTAATGACTGATGTTATTTGTACTTTTGTGTCATGTGACATGTGGACACCTGTTTATTTTACTGTTTATATAGCTATGAGGGGAGAAGTAGCTATGAGGGGAGAAGTAGCTACGAGGGGAGAAGTAGCTACAAGGCCTGTCTCTATTTCAATCTCTTTAACTCATTCACTCTTAAACCCCCTTCCCCACCTTCAATTTCCATAGCAACTGTCTGTTGTGGTTTGTTTGCAAATGTCAGCATGCAGAGATGGAGCAATTAAACTCATGTGTCAAAAATGGACACATTGTTTGTCCAGCATTAAACCTCCTCTCAAGAATGAAAGATTTTCTTTCTTTCTTTTTTCTAACATCTGTGTTGTGGATCACTTTCAAGCCAGCTGATTATGGGATAATAAGCTGCACTTTACTAAAGGACCCCTACCTCCACATTTGAATGTTTTACAACTAAAAAGAGCATGCTATTATTTATCATGCAGATCTTGAGGATTAGTATGCCACAAATGTAAGCACACTAATAATGTGGGTTTTCCTCCCACTCTTATATTACTACTCCTGTATGAGGGACAGTTATTCTTTTAAACATGACTTTCTATTGTTTTAAATGTTCACAGATCCCGTTTTGGTGAGAATGATTTGGTTGTTTTGTATGACAGCTCATTTATTGACAATCTGATGAGAGATAATTGTTGTGCTCTTTGTTCATTTTTGTATTCTTGCTGCTCCTGTCTTGCCTCCTAGCTGTAATTTTTTTTCCCCTTCAGTGTGCTTCATCTTTTTGTTGATTTTCCCTTTCCTCATTTTCCCTCCCCTCACCACTTTACACCTGCTTTACGCATTCTTTTTCCACTTTTGTTTTATACAGACTTGATCTTTTATATTCAACCCCCAAGGAGTAATTTGGTACACTGCTAGCAGGAAAAAAGAAAAGAAATGATCCAATAAACACTCAATTCAAACATGGAGAGATTAAGGAGAATAGAAGTAAAACTTCTCACCGTTTGTTGTTTCCTCTCTTTGCCCCTTTCCAGAAAATTCTGGGAGCACTTTGTGTCCATCTGCCACGAAAACTCAAGCCTACATGGCATCACATTTGAGCAGATCAAGGCTCAGCTGGAGGCACTGGAGCTCAAGAAGACCTATGTCCTGAATCCATTGGCCCCGGAGTTCATCCCCCGTGCCCTCAGGCCCCTGCAAGGGCACCACTCTTCTTCGCAGGCCCTCCATCCCCACCATCATCCACATCCTCAACAGGCACAACCCGCCTCCAACAAGCAGGGTCCGCAGCAGCAGCAGCAGCAACAGCAGCAGTCACCCCCTAAAGTAAGGTTTTCAAGATGGTCCTTACAAATCTTGACACTAAACTGTAGAAATTACAAAAAAAGATGCAAAAATGGCTGATTCTGACAAACAATGATGTTTGTATCTATTTTTTCTTCTGTAAATACTGAAAATAACAATTTAGAGTTTGCACACATAAGGAGGGGAAGAAACAAGAAAGAAGGTTAGAGGACATTTGAAAAGCTGAAGTGTTGTAGGGTTTTCCACATTCATATAATATATTTGATAGCCACTTATTAGTTTTTAGAAAAGTTAACAAATTATCAAGAATAAATTGAGTGCTTCTTGTTTTCATAGAGGAAGAATGATAAAAGCTTGGCACATGCTGGCACAAAGCACATATCTATTAAAATTACTCCGTTTAATTTTCACCACAGGAAATTACTTTATGGCCATTCATTTTAGACCCAGAAAAACATCGGAGATAGGAAATTAGTATTGCAGGTTTGGCGGAAGGATGTGTTGCTTGATTGTTTAGCATGGGTTGAAATGTGTTTGTGTGTCTGTCTTTCTGTCCTCCCTGCCTGCCCTGAGGTAAAGGTTAACGAAATCACCACAGCTGCCAACCTGCTGCCATCACCCACTGAGCCTAATGAGCCGCAGCTCCGCAGCATCAGTCGGCTTCACACACACACACACACAC